CATCAGTCAAACCGCCCTACTCCAGGAACAGGACATTCGGTGGATTCGGCCACACCATTGGCATATTTGACAGGCTAATACTCCATTCATAAAGTTATTTCATCGGTGGCTCTTCTGGAACCGCTATGGGGGGTAAAGGGTTAATAGAAAGTAATGTTAAAAACTAATCAACATAAAAAAATATGTCAAGCAGTAAAACAATGCATGTACATGCAAAAGGATAAAAGGTAAGAATAAAATTTAAATAATATATATTGAATTTATTTCAGGAATAAAATATATTACAAGTATGACGTTAGTCGGCTCTAATGGAAGACTAACGCCTTGAAAGCTACTGCTATATTTTTATTAGTTCTATTTCTAAAATTTTCGAATTTCATTGTGAACGAGAAAATTCCTTATATTTCGAGTTTAAACAGTCGTTTTGAATTTTCGTTAGCAATTTCAGTTATTTTGTTCGAATTTTTGCCCGCAACTCTTACAACATTCTCGATCCATTTGGAAACTATGAATATGCCGGTGGCTGGATTATAATTTTTCTTTGATAAATCCCTTGGAGCCAATCACGGGCAGTCGGTCTCCAATACCAATCGATTAAATAGCAAAGGATTGTTTCGTAACCACTTTTTAAATCTTTTTGTCCAAGTCAACATCTTGTATTAACGTACTAGCTCCGTTTAGTGATATATATGAATTCGGGAATTGTTTTAAATAATAATCTATAGTCTCTAGATCTTAATCAGCTTTGATACAATGCCATTGTATAAAGTGAGATGATGGTAATATAGATAGTAAACAGTCAAGCATAGGACGAAAGCAATCCTTTCCTCGGCAATGTAAAACAATTGGTAATTAAAAGTCTTTGGCCATTCGCACTTGCTGTGCAAATATTAGTTTTTGGCTATGCATGTCAAATCTACTAGTTGCGTCAAGACCGGTCTCGCCTACACCAACAATTGGATTACCAGAAAGAGAGTATTTTCTTGTTTGTAAAATAGTTTCAAGTTGATTGAGACGAAATGGAAATTCATGGTATTCGGGTAGAATTTTCGGATGTATACCGAAGCTTTCGAACATGCCACAATTTTGATATGCAATATCAAAAGCTGTGTTCCATGTATTATAATTATGCTTATTATTTATCATAAATATACGACGAATGTTTGATTTTGAAAGTGATGAAAAAAAAGAATGATCAGAAGCGAATAAATCAACATGGCAATGAGAATCAATTATTGGAAGATGTTCCACAAGGTGAGTATTTAGTGGACAACGACAAGTTTCATATAAACTTTTGAAACAAATATTACTGTTCATTGATGGAAATCAACTAAAAAACGTGGAAAGTGAGGGTGTATTATTCAAACATAATGAAATTATGGTATGATAATTTCTGTGTTTCTGTATAGAAAACCAACAAGATGCTGCTTATGCAAACGTATAAAGTATAGTTAATCTACGAGGAAAAAAGCATACGAAAGCAAAACAAATGGATTTCTTATGAGCCAAAATTATCACTAGGTATACCGGCCATGCGGAAGGTATATAAACGAGTAATAAAAATGACACACAAGAAAATAACTATTTATGCTTAAAACTTTTCCAACGCATTTCTCCTCGATGAACTGCAATAGTTTGACACGTTAGATATCTAGGCATAAGATCTTGATTGCTTTCTTCTTCCATACTATCTACTTCATTAAATGACGAGGATATCTCATCTGAAGAATCACAGTTATCAGAATTACTTTCATTGAGATGCGAAAAGTTATTATTAGAAACATCACATTCATCTTCACTGTCATTTTCATTAGAAGTACATTCTAAAGCATATTTAGTCATAGTTATACGATCTTTTGGATCAGTAAAATTAATTTCTAGTCGTCTGTATAAGCTTTGAATCATCGTACGAAGGGGCGTTTTAGCTTTATTACTTGATGAAAAATACAGACGCGATAATAAATCATTTGATTTTTCAACACCCTGCGTGTCATATGTAGTTAAATTCTCATTTTCATCCTGTTCGGCTAAATGATTACCGATTAAATGCATATAGGGTATACAAACTGTTCTTAAACCTGATCGAAGAAATTCTTTCACGAAACTTTTTGAAACATCAGATAGATCATGTTTCCTTTCAGCTTTAGGTGTTTTAATAAGTTCAATTATTATTTTGAACTTTTCAACTAAATTTTTTGCATTTTTTGATATTTGCTCGTTTTCAATTATTTCATATGGAAAACTATCTACAAAAAGTTTTTGCTGCAAATGACCAGAGAATCTGCCACAAACAACAATACTTTTTACATTAGTCTCAATTTCTATTTTAAAGAAAAAACGATTTCCAATTTGTTGAACTGCATGTTTGTTGAGTAATGCAAATTTTGCTTCAAGTTTCTTGCTATGATTAGGTTCGTATTCATTAGTTTTTGAAGCTTCTGACAAAATGTCTTTCAACAATATATCAAAAATGCGCAAACGCATGTGTAAAGGATCGATGATATAATCATTAAATTGAAAGAGATTACCGAACAACGGCTCCATTTGATATCCTAGTTCATTATTCGCTTTTTATTTTTTTTATTTTAGCTAAACAATCTTCTTTTTCTTCAAGTGTTCGAGCGCCACGGCTTTTCTCATAACAAGAAGTTGGATTTATAAAAATCTTTTTTTTTATTTTCTTCTTGTTCTTCCCTGTCCCTTTAAAAATCTCTTCCTCGCATTCAGTATTATTATCAGTAACGTGTAAATATGCCTTATTTTGGGTGCAAAAAACACATGGGTAGTTGCTGTGAACACCAGCCAACCCAAAAACGTATACAGCATTCTGGTAATCTCCACCAAGTCGTATTTTCACTTCGACATACTTTTTTTTGCTAATTTTTAGTTGTTTGATAGATTGGATCGAAGTGAGAAATTCGACAGGAAGAGTTTTTCTTAACAACTCGTTTGATTCTTTTTGAATTTCGAAAATTCTGACGGGTACAAGGTTTTTCGCACTTTGGCAAGATGGACCACCTTCTACACAATTTACTGAGATGACTACTACATGCTTATTCCCCATCAGTGTCCCGTCCATATTCAAACGACATACAAGTTTGCTCAATTGTCGAACTTCAGGACGAAACTTAGTCGCAATAAAGATAGCTACTCGAAGAGCAAAGTCAAATGGCACGTAACAAGAGTCGTTCGTAAATTTTAAAGGAATATGTTTGTTTGCTTGTTCTCTTACTCTATTAATTTCTGCCATTGAATACAACAATTGTTTATTTTCTTGAAAAAATTTATGCATGGCTCTTATAGCTGAATCCGTAATGTGATATTCATCTTTAATGTGAAGAAAATCTCTTATAAGATTTTCTCTCTGATAATCGACTTGCTTTCGTTTATTCGGTGTTGAAGCAAAAGGAAGTATATATGAAGACATAGATGAATCTTCATTTATTTCTGAAAAAGAACTATCAACGTCTTCGCTACTATCACTATTATCAGGTACACAATGTTTGTTCTCTTGACTCCTCTTGTTTTATATGTACGTCCTAAAACAGCATCTAAATCAAAATTGATTTCATCATCAAGAGTTTGCTCCTGTTTCTTGATTACAATATCACAAGTAAGAAATTTCGAGATCGATGTACTGTTTCTATTTTCCTAAATAGCTGTTTTTAACCCGTCTTGAAACTGTTCTATATCTGGAATCAATTTCCTCTTTTGAAAATATGCTTCTACAATCGTAATGATGTCTTTAACATCAATCAGTCCCAAAAGATCGAATTCTTTCAAAGCTTTGTGAGCTAATGATTGACTTATTGTTATTTCAAAAGAACTCTCCTTCGGTTGAAGAGAAATGACATCCGAGTGTCGAACTAACAATATTCGATCATTCGATCGAATGCTAGAATACGATTCAAACGAAAATGATTCAAACTCATCGGTTTCTTTCACTGGTTCAACAATCAAAGTAGAGCAATTAAAACAAAATACGTCATTGTCTGAAAGTACTTTTATTACTCGCTTATGTTTAGCAGTTGCTTTACTTTTGGCATGAAGAATAATTGAAGTAATTTGATGATAAAGCAACCGTTTTAATGCTGAAACGCTAACGTATAATTTTTGAGGACTATAAAAACAATAGCAAAGAATGTCATCTAATAAATGTGACAACTCGCTTGATATAGAAGAACCAGAAAGAAAGAGAGAGAATATTCGTTGTAAATAGTCGAAGGCAGCACGTATTATTAAATCTTTTCCATCGACACAATCAAATTTTAATTTAGACAATGTCAATGATGTGCTTGTACTATCTTCTGATGACGAATAAAGTTCATTAGTTTGCTTTTTAATGTTAGAAGTACAAGTCGAATTTAAATCCGAAGTATTATTGGAAATTAAAGAAATCGGTTGAACAAGTAAGCGAGGTAGATAAACAACTAAAATGTTTGTTTTCTTTTTCAACCGTGTTCGTGAAATAGCGTTCTTACACGAGTTATTCACAACAGACTCAGTAGCAGCAAGACCTCGACTATTTTATTCAAGAAGAACATTTTCTTTCATTTTATTCAATAACCAAGCTGTATCAAATAAATCCCAGCCTGAAATATCAATCTCAATCCTTACAGATTTTTCACTCATTAGTATTTAAAACAAATCGCAATGCAAAAAAACAATAACTAACGCAATTTATAAGAATATCAAGCTACAGCAAAATAATATAAACAAAAGTGAATTAAGTACTTTGAGCAAAACAGCAAAACCAATTTATGTAACCAAACTAAACCACGTTGTTGTTGTCACGCCAAAACTTAAAAATAAAAAACATAAAAATGATAATGAATTTTGTTACTAAATAATTCTCTCTTCCATTGAAAAAATCAAAAGTTTTATCTTTTTTTATTTAATTTTGCATCGTCTTATAAAATTATTAAATTTTAACATGTTAAATACGTATTCCTTTT